CCTAAATGTACTGGGAAAGTTCAGGACAAATTTTCAGTGGAAACATAGGCGTAGACTACGGGGGGGCATCGGGGCTCGTGCCACCCCTGGTGAGATCCTGAGGGGTGCCACCCCCCCACCCCCCCGGGCCCGGCCATGATCCGTACCGAGACGCTGTTTACGTGTCATGTAACGAGTTTCTAGTAGCATGAAAACAAAATATTGCCCATGTTGCCTTTATTGACAAAATACATGAAAAATGGAATCCCGCCTCAATAGGATCACTTCAACTACAGTCACCGATTCGCCGTCAGCTTAAGAAATTCTTAAAGCACGGAGACCATGTCACCTTATCATCGCTCCGAAGATGATGCCGTTAAGAACGCAGAACAATCGATTGCGAAGCATTAGGCGTGAACATAAAAATACACGCCCTGCGATTCTTTTTCTATTAGCGACGGGCGCGACTAAAAACGCCGCTGTGCTCGAAGTTCGCGATTGGCCAAACCATTGCATCCTGTATTCTGATAATTCCTGGCCAATCGCTGGTTCTCAGTGAGCCAAATACTGCCAAGTACTGCGAGGCAGAGTCAGATCCCTCCGATCGCGGCGAGGCCAATCCTGGTCGTCTCGTCGCGAAAGGAAACCATAAGGGGGCGACACCGAACATGAAGCCGGCACCACGTGGTTAAGCTCGAATACGCGACAGCTAGAAAAAGCGAGAGTGAGAGCGAGAGGGAGGGGAGGGGGGGTGCTTTTCCGCTTGCGCGGAAAAGCACCCCGCCCCCCTTTCCCGGAGAACTTCTCAGCCTGCCCCCTCCGGGAAAATTGAAAGTACGCCGCTGAGTGGAAAGAAAACCTTTCATTCCATACCGTGTACGTAGTCAGCCCACTGCGCCACGTCTTGATTGGGTTGCCAGCGATTGAGTCCTTGGGGGTCGTGAAGTTTGAAGACGGCATTTCGGAGGATGAAGATCACTTTGAAGTGCTGTACCCCCAGATGTTTCGTAACCTAGGCACAATTCCCGGCGAATACACTATCCGCCTGGTTCCCGACGCTAGACCATTTGCAATAAGCACAACTAGGCGGATTCCGATCTCGCTGCGTGATGCGGTGAAATGCGAAATTGAGAAAATGGTAGAGAGGGGGATAATCCGTCGGGTTGAGGGACCTATAGAGTGGTGCGCGGGAATAGTGCCTGTGCTCAAACCGTCCGGAGATGTAAGAATATGTGTCTATCTCACCCAATTGAACAGGAGCGTGAGAAGGGAGAGATTTGTTCTTCCCACAGTAGATCAAACGCTAGGTTTGCTCGCTGATGCGTTTTTTTTTTCAAAGTTCGATGCAAACTCAGTGTTTCATCAAATAAAGTTATCAAAGGACTGCCAGGATATCACGACTTTTATCACGCCGTATGGAAGGTACTGCTTTCCCAGGCTTCCATTCGGTATAAGCTCTGCGGCAGAATACTTCCAGAAGCGAATGTCAGAAATTCTGGAGGGTGTTCCTGGAGTTGTTAACCTTATGGATGACGTGTTGATTTTCTGGAAGACAGCTGAGACGAAACAGAAGAGCTTTACACTTTCTTCCTTCTGGTTCCTTCCACCAGAACGGCGGTTCGTACGACTTTCCCGTAGGAGATAAGGAAGACACCGACAGTTCGGACAAAAGTCTAGACGGCAGTACGCGAAGTAACATTGTTGTTGGACCTGCTTCAGGCGCTGCAAGGGTACGTCAGGCTTATGTGACCAGGTCAGGATGAATTGTGTGCAAGCCTGCCAGGCTGGGTTTTGAAGATTGGTAAGGAATTTAATCTCTAACAGAGGTTTTGTCAAATACTCTGCACCATATACGTTTTTGTCCGTGTTGTTGTTCGACAGCTAATGTGCTATTTCAACTTCACCAGGTTCTCTGTACATATTGTAAATTACTCTGTAATGTGTTTAAAGTTGGCCAGATGTTTTGTATAAATTTTAAATTACTTTGTGATGTGTTTAACCTTGGCTATCTGTTTCGTGTATGTTGTAAATTACCCTGCTTTGAAAAAAAGGGAGATGTGGTGATTGTTGAGTGACCCACGTGCGACCTGGCTGGCACGAGACACGTGCGGACGGCTCAAAAGGAACGCACGAGATAAAGACATTTCTTCTGCCTGGAAGCCTGGACTGGATGGTCGCTCATTTCACAGCTGTTGTGGGCACCCCAACCTAGGAAATTTGATAGTTGTCTTGCAGAGGTTAATTGGTCTGAACTTGTTGGTTGTAGAGTTGGGACAATCCCGGTCGGTATGTGAGTCCCGAGGTAGCTGTCATATTGGCGTCGTTGAGAGCCTTCGCCTCCACAGTCTACAGCGTAAGCGTCGTTACCCAGGTACTCTTGCGCTGCGTATGTTCCACGACTTTTGCAGATGACGACGATGATGTCGTAGACTCTTGAAGTTGTTTTTTTCCCAGCTGGATTTTGTGCTACCGCCCAGCTGGGAAAGCTTGGCGGGGGACCGAGAGGCGAAAAGTTTCTCTCAGAGTTTTTTTTTGCTTTCCGTTTCGAGAATCATGACCATTGTTCGCTGATTTGTCCCTTGGGCGCGGTATCTTGCGTCGCTTGCTGGTCGCCTGGTGGTGTGTGGCGACCCGGGGGAGTCGAGACTTTGTTTCTCTCTTTCTCGTGATGGCGGTTTCCATGACGCGAATTCAATATTTTTATGACATTGCGTCGTGCTCGCCACCACAGTTGCAATAGCGTGGGGCTTCTTCCTGTCAATTCGTTCAGCCATGCACTGTTTGTCGCATCGACCGCAGCGTTTTGTGATTTGGGCAGTTATCTGCCTATGGCCAAACCTGGGGCAGTTGATGCTGGGAACCGGTTTTGGTCTGTAAGGCATCGCAGGGACGCGGAGGGATCCCTCATGTACCATATGCGGTAATTGCATGCCATTGAAGGTGACGAGGACCGAAGGGTTTGTTTCCTCAAGTCATCTGTTGGTAAAAACTGTTGCTTCTTTGCACAACATCAGTGATTCGAGTTTATTGTCAGTGAAGTCTACTGACACTTGGATGATACCGCCAATCGACTCTGTGGGGCGACAAATCTAGGGCCTCACTGACACTTTGCCTAACTTTAGAAAGGTGCATCAGTTCCCCAGGAATTGTTTTTACGTCAATTGCAGTGAAGTCTGCAACGTTTTGCATGCGGAGCCCGGCACCATTAAAATCAGTACGGTCGCGCGTCGTTGCAGTTATTAAAGCGGCCATGAAACAATTTTTATACTTTTCCCTTTCAGCTTTAATCCTCAACTCAAAGGCGAATTGAGAAATCACGTCGTCGTTATAAGCTTGGGCACCGGTGCGATGACATCTTGCATCCATTGTGCTTCTTAAGCACACCATGGAACTTTTCATACGCAAGTAGGGGGGATCGCATGCCGAGTGGTCTAGCGCACACCAGCTCGGAGCACGTGGAGCGAAAGCTCGCGCTGCAGAACCCAGGGATCCTGGGTTCGAGCCCCACCCCTGCCCGTTTCGATCTGGATGAGCATCGTACCGGCTTTCGGTCGTGTATCACTACTGCGTGGTGCACGTTAAAGACCCAGGCTAGCGGTTGTACCGCACTGGCTAAATTTCTCATCTACAGCTGGGAGACTCGTCGCCCCTGTGAGGCAGACCAATTTCTACACTGTTAGCGAAAATGTAGTATTACGCCTGTTTACACCCCATTTTCACTCGTTAGCATATTTTTACACGCTCTGCTAGTGATAAATCGTCAAAAAATTACTTGGGGTAGTAAAAATTGGTGTTTCGATTTCGGTTTACACGACTTGGCGTGTAAGCAACACTGAAAACACCCTCGTCCAACACGAGCGTTTCGTCGCAGTAAGGTTGCAACGCCTATTGGCTGAGAGAAAAAAGCAAAAACAAGCAAAACAACACAAACAGGAAGTGACAAAAATTTTTGTTTTGTTTGTTTTTCTTTCTTCCAAGTTTACTTTTTGTTTTTACTTTTTGTTCCTCCAAGTGTTTGTTGGGCGCTTTTCGGAGCGGTCGCGTCGGTTCCAGCGGTCTTTCTTTTTATAATGCAATTAAATGCAAAGGTGCAAGCGAGCTGGATTGTATTATACGTACATTGTCGTGTTATGTGCCGCTGTATTGCCGAGTGGAGTTGGTCGTGATATTCAATGCTTGGGAACGAGCGTCGGCAGTCAAGTCCACAGCGCATTCAGCGCATTCATGCAAGGCCCCATCTCGCCACATGGAGGCCCGTGGGACGCTTGTTCGGAACGTAAAGGGTCAGTGGAATTTACCTACTGGTAGCGTTCGATCGTCGATTCGACACCGCTGTGGTTCAGGTAGCGTCGGGGACAAAGAAGATAATAGAGATAATCAATGGGAGTGGCATGTTGCTCCCGAGTGCCGCCTGCGCCGCATTTGCATGTTGGGAATGTCAGCTTTTGACGAGCTCGTGCAGTCACAAAAGCGTTCTGTCGAAAGACGGGATTTACAAACAGATCAGGCTTCGCGAATGGCCCTCCCGGCGCGTTGAATTTGTGGCGGGTAATAATGTTACTGTACATCCTGGTAGGCCTGCGATGGTGTTTTCTGCACAGATATTGTATTCTGCCTCGTGGTACATTCACACCTGCAGCAGAACTGCTAAGCGATTCTGCTACAGGTTAATGGCGAAGAGTTGTGCTCTTCCATCATGTGCATGTTAAAGTGACAACAAATAAGTACCTCTCTGTTCTACTTCTCCTTTGGTACTCAAATGGTTGTATTTTCTACTGCATTTTGTTCAGAAAGCCACTGTGAGACAGGCATCATTATTGATGTATACTATCCAAAATAATGCTTTAGCATGAGACGAGGTAGCAGAAATACTTCTATATGTGCCTGCTTTTTGTGTTTTTGCAAGACAAGGTAACAGAAATACTTCTTTATGTGCCTGCTTTTTATGTTTTTGCAATTCACCGGCTAGACCACTCTTCTCATGGTTATTGTTTTGTTGGGTGCAAAATATTCGATCCCAGGTGTCCGATGCTTGCGGCTGATGGCTTCTACCTACGTGCATCAAACAGTGGGCCTGCACCTTCGCCGAGACAGCAGTAAAACAGTTCTGGGTAACTGCTGCGACTGGGTCACCGATGCCGTTCCACTTCCTGCACTGCACTCCACGTGGGTCAAAGGGGCAGTGCATGCCTTCTATGGGTTGTTGCAAGCCATAGTGAGTTTGGCTTGTAGTCACGTCATGAGAGTGAAATGCTTGTCACCTGAGTGACGTCAGTGGGGGAGGGGGTGGGGGGGGCACCGCCGCCGCTGCCGTTGGTGGGGCTATGACCGGTGGTCTGCGATCACAGACCACCAAGCACCATTGCACTGTTCCTGGATGAACTAGCCACTCTTGAGGAAGAACAGGGTGCTTTGGGAAGAGCTATAGTGTCCGCTTTTTCACTAGCTCCCGCTGTCGCCACAGACATTTTGTCGAAAGGAGCAACATCTATGAATGAGTAGACGGCGCTGATGGCCGCAAGGGGCATCGCTTCTGACCGATGGGGTCAAAATAGTCCCGTTTCAACAGAGGTGCCTCTTGGGATATTGTACAACACAGGAAATAAAGGGCCCGAAAGTTTTCTACCTTGACGAGGTGTGGGTTATGGCAGGACGACTGGACTGGTCATGGGTGGCGTGCCTGAGAGTGGGACAGGAGACGGCTGTTATATACCAACTTTAGACTTCATTCACCCCTTAACTGACAGGGCACTGGAGGCTACATGCTTGGTGAACCAGCCGATTGTCAGTCTTGCATCACTTATCGTGCCCCTTTCTTATACAGATGTGCAGGTCGGACATGAGGCAATAAAAGCTTGGCCCACCAACCACATGGCTCCTACCGCCCTGTCAACGTAGGGATGAACGGAGCGCAGGGGCGGCAGAGTTGGTGGGGTCTGCTGAGTGCTTCTGGCGTAGCAGCTCGGTAGTGGTGAGTTACTAGAGCACAAAATGCAATACCGCACTTTACTCTGAATGTTGCGAGCCATCGGAGCCAATCCAGTGCCGAAGGTGTGTCACGTGGCCTGTCCGTTGGGTGCAACGGCACGTTGAGCACAGTGTCATCTGGCAGCGACAAAGTGTCACAGCTTTCTGGACAAGCGGCGATAATCAAGAATGAAACGTGCCCTACATCTAGCTAGCTTCGAGAGTTGCACATCGCAGTCTCAAACGAAACGGCAATATCAGTCAACAAGACCGAGTACCGCTTCACGACGGGAGTGAGCCCGCCTCACACCCATCCAAAACAGCGTGAAACTGGCAAACAATATTCTAACCCTAAAATTAACTTGGGCTGTTCGTACAGAAGGAGCACGCTTCAGAGAAAGAGTCGTGTGGGCATTCTTTTGTTCCGCAAGGCGTGCCTAGCCTTCAAATTTCTTGCGTTTGTTCTGATCAAGCTTTTGCGCAAACAGTTTTTTTCCAGTGTATCGTTCAACAAAAAGTTACAGATGTTTTGTACTGAGCTGGTTACAGGAACTAATGCCATCTGTAAATATCTCTTACAGCCGTGCTGTTTGAAGTCATCACAGATATAAACTACACGTTGCAGCAACTCACAATCGCATTCCTGCCCGTCATGTCGAACAGCGGAGCGCTAATTTCAGTTTGAGGTCTGCACTCTTACTACAATGCAGATGGTGACAGCATCAGGCTGCACTCGGTAAGTTAGTTTGAGACCGGTTCTTTGTGTGGCACTCCGCGAGTGCGGTGCACTCTGGGAAATGACTCACATAATGCCAGTGCGTTTGAAACGAGCTTGTTATAAGGCCCGCTACTCATGGGATAAGTTACTCGTATAGTTTTTGGGCAGCTGATGAGTTATTTCCCCCTCCACAGCGACACGCATTGCTGGTTTTGGGTACGACTTGAAACCGACGAGCAGCTCCGACAACTCTAACGTGTTCGAAGCGGCAGGAGCAGTTCAGGGACACAATATTTCCACGTGACCTCCCTTGCAGTAGTGGTGATGGTGCGTTCAGTAGCGGCTCCCTCAGCTCCGAATGGAGTAACTCGACTTGGAGTTCTCGGTGCATTTTAGAACACCTTCGAAAAATCCCAAAGGCTTTTTTTATGTGGATGTCATCTCTGTTGGATTTTTCACTAGCCACTGTTGTTAAACTTCCAGAACTCTATGTGCCAAGAAATTGAGAGAGAGGAGGGGATGAGAGTGCAGGGATGTCAAAACGCAGAGCTCCGATGGAACGATTAGTGGGTAGACCTAAAGCTAACTGCCTTTGTCTGTACTGCACATGCAGAACGTCGGTGTCCAGCGTTTCGCATTTGCATTCGAATGCGTTTGACGAGTGCAGTGGAGATAAAGGCAGCCTTTGTTTCTGCCGCACTCGTTGAACACGTTCGACTGCAGAACGTAGGCGTCCAGTGTTTGGCTCTCGCATTGAAATGTCCTCGACGAGTGCAGTGGAGACAAAGGCACTTAGCTTTAGGTGTACCCACCAATCCTTCTAACCAGAGCTTGGGTGTCCTGACGTCCCCGCGTGCTCTCTTCCACTCTTCTCCCTCATTTTCTTGGCACATGCATCATGGGCAGATTTTAAGGATGGGGGGACCAGGGCCCCCAAGGTTAATTTTTTTCAGTGGAAAATCTACATATGCCAGCTTTTGTTAGGAAGAAATGATTAGTGGCTTCCATCCATACTCGAGAACCGAACTAAACGCAATACACTACTTCCATAAATTCCTGCATGCTACACGGCGCGCGTTGCACTCTGGGAACTGGTTAGCCAGGGAGGAGAGTGGCATGGTTTCGGTTTCGATCGACACGTCGACAAGAGATACACAGAGCGTGGACCATAAACGGCCGTAATCTCATATTTTCTGGTATCGAGAGCGTCATTTGTGGTCTCTAAACTAACCTAAATGGCCAGACCTCGAATCTTTAGCGCAAGTCCAAGATGTATAGCTTGTCTTAACGCATGCTTGTTGTATTTTTGTACTTGAGCCTTTTTGTTAGCGTTTCGAGGTATGTGGACGAGCCAGTGCTGGGAGTCTCGAGGCTGCGAAGCTCGGGGATCTTGCTTGTATACGAATCAACAAGCTGTAGCAACCGATAAGTATGCATACATCGAGCTCGCGCCTTTACATTAGTGTTGTTGATCAGGAAGTTTTTTTGTTGTTTTTTTCATGCGCCCATAGACGAAATATAACTTTTTGCAATTACTGTTTTTCTTAATACGCCTGAGTATGCAATGTAAAACTCTGACGCGCCATTGAAAAGCTCCATTCGAACACACTTCTCATCTCTTATCTGTACTTCCCCGCAGCACTGCACGAAGTGCACTGGACGGGCATGAATTCTGCGCTGCGTTGAACGAACAAAATTATTCAAAGCGCATTTGACGGTTGCTAATAGCCATAATATTTATTATGTGTTTGCTTTCTTCCTGACCGAGTATGCCGAGATAATTTCAGACACACCGTTCCGGCACAGATCTTGGGCGTTAGTAAAAGCTCGTCCAAGAAGGCTGAGTGAGGAGTTGGGGACGCTTGTTAGGGCCTCCGTCGTAGCTAGCCGATCTTAGCGTATGCGAAAACTTAATCTTCTATCAGCATAAAATTTGAGTGTGAGATATGTGATGACACGAGGAAGACATCACAGTAACTTTTGTGCAGTAGTGACGTTAAATTTATTGTGTTTCCTTAAAAGTTAATGCGCCAACGCTGGGCTTAAAAGGCAACTCCGGCCAAAACTCAAAATGAAATAAATTACTGGTATTGCTGTAGTGACACAAAATACGACTCCGGCCAAAATATTACGTCCGTAGGACGCCGCATTCTCAACTAATGCCGATAACAAAAATGCGACCCGCCGCAAGCCGCTGCGCCTTAGCGGGCGGCCAGCGGGTTGCCGATCGCTAAAGCAACATTGGGCTGTGACGTCCGTATCGTTCTCTTTTTTTCCTCCGGTGTGGGCGTTGCGCGGAGTGCGCTTCTTTGAGCCGCTACCACCACTACTTCGGCTTGTGATTGGCGTGTTTAGCCGTTGCTTTTATCTGTAGCCCGTGTAGCTTCGGTATAGCCTTTTGTTTATTTGCTTGTGAGGACTTTAAGACTTGTTTTAGCGAGCAACTCGGTGCGCCCAAGACTGCCCAGCTGTTCCTCGAAAGATGACGAGTGCAACTTGTAGCGCTGTGGACCGCTCAAACAACCCTCTGCGCAACACGTAGGTGTTTTTTCACAAGTGTCCGACGGACTGGAAATTGGAGAAGGTCTGGGTGAATGCTGTTGGACGAGTGGACTTTGGACTTCGGCTTTTACGCACCCGAGGAAAAAAGAACGAAAAGCAGTCGTGTTCAGCCCAGTACACGTGTGTTCGGGCGCCGCGGCCCGCGCCGGAGCCTCAAACCTTCGTGTCTGGGACTGACCCGCAGCGCGAAAGCGAGAGGGCCCCCAGTACGTCACTGGCAGCGCGGCGTAAAGCAACGCCGCTCCATCCACGAAGCCCAGATGACAATTTAGGCCTAAAGACAAGTACGGAAGACCACACACACGGCGACAGCCGCCGAGTAGGGCACCGAACGAGTTCACTTGTTTTCCAGTCGCTAGCTTTTGGGTATACAAGCGACGAGTACAGCATAGCGCATGCACGGCGGTGGCCGCCGAGTACAGCACCGGACGAGTTCACGGGTTTTCCAGTCGCTAGCTTTTGGTTATACGCACTAACTCTTGCTACATATGGTCGATAACTACCACGTATACAGAATTAAAACAAAATCAGCTCAAACAACAGAGGTAGGTGGCGCTCGGCCTGCGTATTCGTTGAACGAGGACGATCGTGACGTCACGTTCACATAGCGGCTGATTTCCACTGTTGCCGGAGCCTCGGGCGGCTAGTTTCGGTTTTGTTGGCCGCGCCCGAAACAAAACTTTCAGGCGTCGATATCTTTAAAACTACGCACAATAACGAGAAAAAAATTACACCTTGCAACTCAGGGATGCTGACTGCACTAAAAACAGTCATAATCCCAAAGTCGACAGTATGGACCGGAGTTGCCCTTTAACTTTGATACTCCTGTGATGATGTGGCTTGCTTTTCGCCCAATGAAGTAACAAGAAGCGTACGTTTGGCAAACAAAATATGTGTAGGGCTCAGGGTGACCAAATTTCAGTTGTAGTTCACTGGTACTGGACGGGATTACTGACACTGAGCTCAAAGATGCACTCGTGGGGTGAGGTGACTAAGCCACGTCTTACTACGCTTGCATACGCACATATAATATCCGGTGTTTCTGGAACCAAGGAAAGTGCCCCGGTCTTCGTTTTGTATCGCTCGAGAATGAGTGTATTGCACATTCGTAAAAAAAGTCAGATAATCGAAAACACGAGGAGCGTATTCGGCCGCGGCGTGATAGCATGAGATGAAGCTGCTCAGTAGAAACCGAAACTAAGAGGCCAACTAGTTCCCAGAGGGCACTGCGTGGTATTTCGCCGCGATGGGGCACGTCGGTTTTGGCAGAAGTCTATTGCAACGCCGTCATTTCTCCCACAGCAGCCACTAAGGAAACTACACGGCTACGCTTAGTGGTTCCGTCAAGTCGCCGAAGAGTTAGTGGCGCTAAAGTTCCTGTGTAGGCTCCCTACGGGAGACAGAGTTGCGTGTTCATCCCCGTAGCGCCGTCTTTCCTGCACGGCATAAGGAGCCGGCGAATGGCAGCCTGGTGCGCTCAAAAGCAGGGGAATGTATGCCAGGGTGCGTGCAATGTGTACTTTCGTGCACGGCATTTGAGTCTGCTCCTCACATGATCGCATCTCGGTGAGTAGCGGTGCGGCGGTACGTGGAAAAAAGTCGTGCAACTATGGCTCCTGTAAAGAGCCTATACAGGAACTCTACGTGGCGCCATCTCGCAGGGCCATTTCGCAGTAGCTATATAGAACAACTTGCATGTTTTAATTCGTCGCAAAAGGGTGGCGCTGTTATCGTATTTAGTTTGGTCTCGGTGGACGCCAGCGTTCCAGGTTCCAAGAGCGAGTTTTCCAACTGAGCGTTTTCCTTGCATGTTCGGCTCAGATACTGGTTCCTGTTGACATGATGGACTCCTTTGTTCTCTGCATTCATCATAGGTTACCGTCGTGAATCATGGACCAAGACTGCACTCTTAGGCCCACTCCCTTTTGGTGGATCAGGTCTTGCCACCTTCCCCTTTCGTGGTTTCCTGTCGTATTTAAATAAATTCTCATATTTTTTTCTGATGGTGGTGCATACCTCTTGCCACACTTGACAAAATAGTGTGGTGAATCCATGCCACGGATTACTGTAAAGCCGAAAAGTTCGATGGAAAGACGATAGATATACCCCGTTTAATATTTCCGGAGTTTTTCAGCCTATCATTGCATCGGCTTTTGACCATTCACACTTACACGGAAAGGCAATCGGCAAGGGCTTCCAAGTCTGCGTTCTGTTTGCATTTAATTACTGAAACAAGGTTTATAGACATTACCAAGTGTATTTCGGCACAACTAAAGGTTCAAACTTTAGGCCATTTTGTTGCCATGATTTTAAGTTTCTGCTAAGGTGAATATGTGCTCTTTACATTAATTAAAATGAAAAAAAAAAAAACTGATAACATTTGTCCTCGGAGTTTTTACAGAAGACCCATCGCTATCACCATCACTATTTTGATTTTTCCAAGATGGCCGTTTTGCTTCGTGAACGTTCCGTGATTTCGGCGATTTACGCGACTTACGAACAGCACTGCCTAATTGGTACGTTAATTTTGGTGGCTATTTATCGCGTAATATTGTGGGTATCTTGTGTTCGTACAGAAAGTAGTATTTCAGGTTCAGATTGTTCTTTGTACAGCGTTAGCTCGGCGGGTCGTCTCCTCTGAACTGCTTGCCTTTTGTCCACGTTTCTTTCGCTCCCAAACCCATCACACTTTCTGGTTAATTTTCCTGTATCAATACCTGCTATTTTGCTAGCAAATATCCACAAACGTAGGTATCATGCAGCTCTACCTGCACTATTCTTTTTATGTAGCGAAATTGCGAGAACCGCTTTTGTTTTGAAATTATTTAACTTTCAGCGTTCTATAATGTTGTTAGGCAGCCCAGTCAGCCCAGTTATGTTCGCAAAGAACACGTGGCTAAGCGGTGGCGGATAGCACTTGTGTTGATGAAATGTTTTGCGTCCGCATATCCGGAAAGCATCGGGCAGCTGTCAACTGTTTAGTGAAGAGCCGAAGCAAGACGGTAATGTTGGTGGTACGAAACTGAATACTACCCTTTGTTAAATATTTATTTACTTGCTTGTCTGCTCGGCAGTGCCGCCTGTACTTGGACAATACCTTGGAAGATAGTGCAAATACGGAGACAAAGCTGTACAGTGGTTATACTCTGCATCTGCACTCTGAATAACGTGATGTCTCGGTAACCACGCACGCTTCGTTACTGAGACTTGTTTCGCTACCTGCTAGGCATAACTGAGGTGCTTTAGATGTGTGCCTTTATTTTAAGCTAATAGAATGTACTTCACCTACAGCAAGCAGTTGTAGAGGAGCGCCGTTTAGTGATTCCATTGATCGTCGTCTGAAAGACGCTAAAGGCTACCGCACGATTCAGTGAGGCTTGTTGACCTATGCTTTGAGCACCCGCTCTCCTTTGTTAGGCCTTAAACCAGGCAGAACATAATATTATTATTGTGAAAACAGCAGGGTTGTGACATGCACGAAAACTTGTCTATAATACTGTGAACATGCTGGCCGCCCAAGCGACCGACTTGTTGACTGACCGGCTCGGCTTTGTCATTGGCGAAGGCGGAACAAGCAAATGCTAGAGCATGCATCCAAGTTCGGTGAATTGCGAATTTCTAAAAACAAATTTGCTAAAAGGTTGTTTGTCGCCATTTTCTCTTAAAGGGCAACTCCGGCCAAAACTCAAAATGAAATAAATTACTGGTATCGCTGTAGTGACACAAAATACGACCCCAGCCAAAATAGTATGTCCGTGGGACGACGCATTCTCAACTAATGCCGATAATAAAAATGCGACCCGCCGATCGCTAAAGCGACATTGGGCCGTGACGTCAGTATCGTTCTCTTTTTTTTTCTCCGGTCCAGGCGTTGCACGGAGTGCGCTTCTGAGCCGCTACCACCGCTACTTCGGCTTGTGATTGGCGTGTTTAGCCGTTGCTTTTATCTGTAGCCCATGTAGCTTCGGTATAGCCTTTTGTTTTTTTGCTTGCGAGGACTCCAAGACTCGTTTAAGCAAGCATCTGTGCACCCAAGACTGCCCAGCTCTTCCTCAAACGATGCCGAGTGCAACTTGTAGTGCTGTGGGATGCTCAAACAACACGCTGCGCAGCACGGAGGTGCTTTTTCACAAGTTTCCAACAGACCAGAAATTGGAGAAGGTGTGGGTGAACGCTGTTCGGCAAGTGGACTTTGGACTTCGGCTTTTACGCGCCCGAGGAAAAAGAAAAAAAAAAAAAAAGAACGAAAAAGTAGACGCGTACAGCCCAGCACACGTGTCTTCGGGTGCCGCAACCCACGCCGGAGAGCCTCAAAGCTTCCTGTCGCAGACTGACTCGCCGCACGAAAGCGAGAGGGCCCCCAGTACTGTACGTCACTGGCAGCGCGGCGTAGACCAACGCCGCTCCATCCACGGAGCCCCGATGACAATTTGGGCCTAGCAACGAGTACGGAAGACCGCACACACGGTGATAGCCGTCGAGTACGGCACCGAACGAGTTCACTTGTTTTGCAGTCGCTAGCTTTTGGGTATACAAGCGACGGGTACGGCATAGCGCACGCACGGCGGCGGCCGCCGAGTACGGCACTGTACGAGTTCACGGGTTTTCCAGTTGCTAGCTTTTGGGTATGCGCACTAACTCTTGCTACATATGCTGGATAACAACCACATACACAGAATTAAAACAAAATCAGCTTACTTCCTATCTTTAGACGGCTAGCGCATCAGAGGTAGGTGCCGCTCGGCCTGCGTACTCGTTGAACGAGAACGATCCAGTCGTCACATTCACATAGCGGCTGATTTCCAGTGTTGCCCGGGCCTCGAGCGGCTAGTTTCGGTTTTGTTGGCCGCGCTCCAAACAAAACTTTGGGGCGTCGATATCTTTTAAACTACACACGATAACGAGAAAAAAATTACACCTTGCAATTCAGGGACGCTGACTGCACTAAAAACAGTCATAATCCCAAACTCGAAAGTATGGACCGGAGTTGCCCTTTAACTTAGTGTATTCTTGAAAGGATTCAAGAGAAAGAGGGTTTCAAAACCGGTGCTTGGGAAAACAGATGCCTCCGCTCAAGCGGTACACGCCAATGTTCTCAGATCTATCGGTTGACAAGCTCCACGGAAGAGCAGCGATAAAAAAAAACGAGACGTTGACAATTCTCTGTAATGCGAAAGTAGAACGCAGCACTTGACGAGGAGGGGAGGGTTTACCTCTTCTTTCCCTCCAATTTAGCAGAAAATGTTAGCTAAATTTCCTGCCCAATTTAGCGGGTTAAGTTTCCCCGCTAAATTTGGCGGGTAAATTGACGTCAGGTGACCAACACATATTTAGCGGGGGAAAATGATGTCAGATGACTAACACCCATGCACAAATTCAGTTTCTTCGCTAGACTTGGCGGGAAAATTGACGTCACGTGACCTCAACACCAATTCAATTTCCCGCTAAATTTAGCGAGGTAGTTACATAGACGGCGACACCGCTAAATGCGGATACAGGTGCCTAAGAGCTGTAAGAACCACAATAAAATCGCTTTCCACTGCAGGTAATGTGCATCGAACATTCCACCGGATCTGTCCATAGGGCGGGCTGATAGTGTGGCAGGCGCCACTGAGCGGACGCACCGCAAAAAGGCGTCTGGCGTTTTCAGAAGCTTGTCAACTGACCTAGATGTGAGAATGTTTGTATATGTATTGCTACCATTACCCAGCGGGACCGGATATTGTTGGAGATCTGTTTCCTGAAAAATGTTTTTACAATGTTCACACTTTGGTCAATGCAAGCACATCTTTTTTTTCACTAATATTGACTAACAGCATTGTAGCAATCAATCCAGTTGACACCGAAATGTTATAAGCAATAAAGAAATTAAAACCAGGCTGTTCTGAGAGTGCAGATTTTATATCTTGTTCTATTGTTAAGGGTGGCACCGATTTGTTTGTCCCTTTATTCAAGCATGCATTTCATCTCCGAGAAATCATGATCGTCCATTATGCTGGAAGAGATCTCGTAGTACAAGTATAGGACGCTGGTGACATGTATAGGGTAGACAGTCATTGCCTAGTTTTTGTATGCTCGTTTGAAGCGGCACTATTCAATGCAAATTTTTTTCGAAGGCTGCTCAGAAAAAAACTATTTTATGTAAATTTGAATACACAGCACCATTTGTTTTTGACGGAAGCAAGTTCGTATAATTTATTTTGATTTATAACATGCTTTTGATAAGATCAACCGCAAATTGGTTTCTTAAAAACCTTTATCGCATGGTGTAGCATTGCCACTTTTAAAAGTCGCTCACGAGGCGAGGACGCTGGGAGAAACCTCAGTTCCCTGCCTCCAGCATGAGCTTCCTACATTCGGCAATGCATAGAGGCCGGACATTTGTAAGACATTCCCAGCTATTCGCATTGCATTAATGACAATGTCTAACATATCGCCCGCCCCGCAGGGGGCACCTGTGAAAGCAGGTGTTTGGAGAGTGGCGTCTCCACGGACCCCGAGCCATGCGGGTTCGCCCGCCCACGTCTGGCTGTGCGTGGCTTTCCGGTGTCCGGGGAAAAGGGCATCCTGGTGGTTGAGCCGAGCCCGGGGTAGGTTTGGACCCTTCGGGGCCCCCCGGGCGAGGCAATACACCACTTCGGCCCCCGCTTCCCGTAGACGGGAGTCCTGGCTTGGCCCGACCAGGATGATTCAGCCTAGTCGCCACTTCTACTATCCCCTCCTTTCTTTCAACCTTGTCTTCTTCTTTTCACTCTTCTCATTTCCCTTCTTTCCTTTTTCAACTCCTTTGGCGGCAAGGGCTAACCTTGGGTGGTGACAGATACTCTCGTCCAGATCCACACTTGGTTATAGTTTCTGGGTAGCGCTAATAGAGTAATGCTTCCAGCAAAGCCATATTTGTTATGGGGTGTTACCTATTCCCTCGTTGGGCTCCGTGGTGGGCGGCGCGCCACAGATTCCGAACACTCCTTGCCCTCTTATGGCGCCCCTCTCTTCCAAAC